GAAAGCCATCTGACGAGAGACAGGAGACAGACGGTATTCAATCAGGACGCATTCTTGTCGCCTGAACAAGAGGATACCTTGAAAGGCTTCGCGCTTGGAGAAGACCACGTGCCGACACAGAAGAGAGCATCATCAGTTGGAGCTGCGTTGGACCCGATGATGAATGATCCGCATCTCAATGACGTCGAGCCGGATGCACGATTTGAGAAGGGCGTTGAGCACGAGGTGGAAGCCATCGTTGGGAAGAGGATCCACAAGGGGCGTGTCCAATACAAATGCAAATGGCGCTGGCACCCACTCTCGAGCGCGTCATGGGAGGACGAGAGCGACGTGCTCTGCAAACAACTTGTGCAGGACTACGAGAACCGTGACGTTGGCTCTGACCTGCGTTTCGATGATGCGCCATTCCCGCCCTTGTACGCCATTGTGCGCGTGAGGCACTGCAAGGAGCTCAACCGCGAATACACCGTGAAGGTGGCTAAGCTTGACAAGGACGGCATCCAGCTGCATTACCTGAAGGAGCCGACACGCACAAAGCGGTCAAAGAAGGAGAGCCTCGTGGGCATGAAGAGTGCCATATCGCTGGCCGACTTCCTTCGTTTTTACCAATGGGAGCGAGAAAGGGATGAGTACGAGGACGAACGGGGAGCGGAGGGCTGAATGACAGGCCGCCGCTGCACTCGCGTTCTTTGTTCAAGCATTGATGTGTACAGTCTTTGCTGAATGAGTTGGCCTCCTCCGTCGGGGGGTCGGGACTCGCTCCGCTTCGCCGTCGCGAAATGCCAGTGAATGCAAAGCTCGCATGGAGGCCCCCACCAGAAAGACGGTACCGAATGAAAAAGTCTCGATGGCCCCAATTACAAACGAACAAACACGAACTTCGGGTAAGAGCGTGCCTCGCTCGCTGAAAGCTCGCGAGTCCCGAAAGTGCTGTTTTCTTCTGGGGGCCTGCCCCCGCTGCATGCGCATGTAGTTTACATGCGGATAGGATTTCTGTGGCTGCTTTCGCCAGAGACGAGGACTCCCATGCCTAGAAAGGGTGCTGCTCAGCAGCCGGTTCTCATCTTAAACCGAAAGAACACTGAGGGACGGTCATTGATGGGTTGGGCCGTACCGGAGGCGAGGCAGACAAGGAGTTTTGCTACTTACTGTAGGTTTTCTCCTTCCTTGTAGTGTATTGCAATGTACCCACTGTGTATTCTCATCAGCGAGGCATTGATGTGTCATCCTGTCTATCTAGAACGGGTGCTGCTTGGAGCTCAGCACTCGAAAGGAGGGAAATGTTGCAGGGTGCAAGAAATGACACATCAATCATGAGTCTGTCATGGGGAAAGTGGCGTCTTGCGTGCATGTTGTGGTGTATATCGCTGCGCTGATGAAGGGAGGGAAGATCCCTCATCGCCGGTGATTCGTCACTCCATCAGCGCACGAGCACTTTTTGGGTGACTGTCTGGGGGTGCACTGTCTGCCTTCACTCCTCTGGGTCTGTATGATTCGTGTATGTGTATGTGCTCATGCATATGAATGAGACGCTGGCCCCTCCTCTGCGAGCTTAGCCGCGTCTTGTAAACTTGTGGAGACAGGACGAGCAGACAGGAGAGGAGAGACCGTTGAAGACAGCCCAGCAGCAACGGTCTCTCTGTCTTTTTCTTGCGCTTGCGCCTTCCTTATTCCGACTGGTTGACCTTTGTGCGTTGCTTCGTTTCCCGCTTTCATGCTTGTTTAAGCATCGGACAGTCCTTTCTATTATCGGTGTGTGTGTACGGACGCTCCCAGCGACTGACATATTTATCATCGGTCACTCTCACTCAACCACAGCGAAGATCTTCACCACCAAGCCAATCCGCCTCGTCACTTCACACATCCATTCTCCACTAAGACCCGCTCGCTGAATAGCCACTCGGAAGCTGGAAGCAGCGAGCACCCCCCAAACAACGCGGGACACCCTCTGAACAGAGCGGGCAACGGTGCAAGAACGAAGAGCGGCGCATGCAGTGAGGAGAGCCGCATCGGAAGCAGGTAACGACACACACTTCAATAGACAGGGGAAAACCCTCAGACCACCCGAAAAGACTGGGGCAAACCTCCCCGACCACTGCAACCGACCGGGGCAAACCTCCCCGCACACACGCACACCACTAATTCACTCCGGGCCCATTCATTCGCTGATGGACACGACTGGACCCGCCGTCTCCGACGCCCTTGCTGCTGGATCCGCCATCTTCGACGCCCCTGCTGCTGGACCCGCCGTCTTCGACGCCCCTGCTGCTGGACCCGCCATCTCCGACGTTCCTGCTGCCGAAGGGGGAGGGGGGGAGGGGGAAAGGGGGTAGACAGAAACCTGAATACCACCCACACATCCCATAAACATGAACCTAACCCACCCACTCCCCCCACACACACACACACCCACACACCCACACACACACCCACACACACCCGCGCACAAGAGCACAACCGGTTTTAAACGAAAGGGGGTAGACAGAAACCTGAATACCACGCACACATCCCACAAACATGAACCTGACCCACCCACTCCCCCCCCACCCCACACCCACACACACACCCACACACCCGCGCACAAGAGCACAACCGGTTTTAAACGCAAGGGCGCGCTCCATATCGAAATTTGGGGGTCGATGAGAGTGGTAGGTAACCATAGGTGCATCAGGACCGCATCGATGCCAGAATTCACACAATATGCGTGCGGCCCCCAGTGGCCCACAGGCTGTCGAGAAAATCGCGATTCGATCCAAGGGCGAAACCCGCCTCGGCAGATAAGCATCGGACAAGGACCGCATTCATACCACCGTGTCAGCGCCTTCGCCCTCGTCAATTTGAGCCCACTTTCAGCCCCATCCGTGACCAGCACCAAGATCTACGGGCACTTGTCATCTTGGCTGGGAGCCAGCTCTCCACACCCTCGGGGCCTGGCGCCACGCTGCTGCCCGCATGTGAACCGCATTGATAAGCACTACCATTCGTCCATACAACCCACCGCCCCACTCGGCCTCTGACGCCCTCCATCGCACTATCCCTGTCTTCGAGAAACTACCCCCCCAGAGATTGAGCGACCCTGGCCTCTTCTCCTGGCACCATCTGCACCAGGCTGACCACTGACGCACACTCGACAACGTAAGGGCCAACACAGGGCAAACGGGCACCTCACCATCATCGCGATTTTCCCGCGTACCTGTGTGCACAGGCAATCACTTCGCCTTGTTTTCGTCGTGTTCCTGACCTCCATGCGCCAGCTCCTCTGCTCTTTTTGTCCGTCATTGAGTGCGCCACCACATGCGCCAGCTCCTCTGCTCTTTTTGTCCGTCATTGAGTGCGCCACCACATGGTAGTCACACCACTACCACACAATCAATCCCTCTCCTGATATGACCCTTTTTGTCCACCAATGTCACAGGTACCTTTTCGCTGATGACTCACCGATCAAGACGACTCCCGGCCCGCCTCCCCCGCCACACTCTGCAGCACTGCAAGCGCCATCAATCCCACTGCAAGGGGCCGTGCAGAACTGTTTACCTGTCCACGTCCATGGCAGCGCTGGCTGCGGCAGCTGCTGCCATGAAAGACCAAGACGCGGGACAGGAGGATGAGGCTCCCGACTGACGAGTGCTGCTTGCTGGGGCGGCGGGGCTGCTCTTCGATCGTGGAGTACAGGAGGGGGAACCGCCGCATGTCGGCAGACGTGCCGTCGCGCGTGACGGAGGGGAGGGGGGGCTTGCCGTCCTTGGCGCGTTGCAGGTTGCGGCGTGATTCGAGTTGACCAGACTCTTCCATCTCTACAACGACAGCACACCACACACCACACACCTGCACACCACACCACACAGCACACAGAGCAAACACAGTACGTGTGTAGATGTGTGTATATATATGTGAATGTGTGTGTACATATGTGGATGTGGATGCCCTGTGTGTCCTCGTGTGTGTACCTCAGATGATAGTGCATTCGATGGTCTCAGTCATGCTCTACAGAGAGGCCGGCGGCATCCACAAATTGCTGAGAGAACGACCAACAATCAAACTGAGTGAGGGGATGGAGGAAGAGAAGACAGTGAAAAGTATACGTGTATGTGTGATGTGGTCATGTGTTGTAGGTCACCGTGTAGCCCATCGAGTGGGCTCTCTGGTGGTGCCAGAGGAAGCTGGGCGGGAGCTGCAGTTGTCGCGAAAAACGGGGGTGAGTGAAATCTGCACACACGGAACAGGGAAAAATGAGTGAGATGAGATGTGAGATATCGATGATTTGAGTGTGCCACCTGATAGGGCGTGTGGAGAGGTGTACCTGGTGTGGATGTCACGGCTTGGTGGGCAGACGTCGCTGTACAAGAGGGGGTGAAGTGATTGGCAGATGATGGGTGGGTGTTGCAGGGGGAGGGATAGGGAGGAAGGGGTCGATATCTACAGATGATGAATCAGTGCGGCAGGGCGGTCAAAATGGCCGTCTCAGCGAGGGCTCATGAGTCGTGGTTGAGGCGCAAAGGCCGCCCTTATGTTTTGGTAGGCCGATCGGATCTCGGGATCTTGACCTCGTGCGGTCAATCTGAGAGCCGCATGTTGTTCAGCACGTCAACGCGGTCATGCTGATGCCTCTAGGGTTCAGGGTTCGCTCATCGCGAATCTCGACGGGGTTGTCGAGTCTGGGGCTGATCTTTTGTGTGTGTGCAGCCCTCGGCAGGGCGGTCATGATGCACACACAACCATAGGTTCGCACGTCACCGCCCAAAACCACCTAGGGGTCCGCCTTGAACTAGAAGCACTCTCACCTTAGCTCCTCACGAGAGCGAGAGGAAGGCCGGGCGGGCGGCTGCTTGTCTGATCATGGTTGCTGACTCGCTGTTTCACTGCAACCGACTGACTTCCCTGTGCTCTGAAGAGGGTCAGTCATGCTGCGACGTTGCTTGTTTGCTTCGCTGATTCTGCCGTTGTTTGTGGATGTTTGGAGATGAAATTTGGTTCACAGTGATCAGCCAGGCACGCTGGATCACATGCAGGTCATTGCGAACAATGCGAAGCCTCACGATGACAGTCAACACCGGCTGCAGTCCCATTTATCCGTTGTAAATTTGCTAGCCCGGGGCCATTCAACGATTTTCCCATTTAAGCAGCGTCCCACTTATCCGACGCCCACAGTATGTGTGGATGTGGGGTGATGGCTGACGTCTGGGTGATCGCTTTGCTCTTCGCTTTTGTATGCGACGAGCTTGGTCTCATAGTGTTGAAGTTACTGTGTGCCGAACACACACCATGGTCAGAAGGATCAGACGGAGCCCTCGAATCTCGCCTTAATTTCGCCCTCATGCCAACAGCATCACACAGAGGTCCGCGTTAGAGTACACATCCTCAGGAGCACGGCAAGAATAGACAGAGTCCGGGCTATATACAACCGGGAAAACCCCTGCTTCTCTGACGGGCACGCTATCGTCTCCCATCGCCAGGGTGGAGATGGCAAGCACATCTCCCTCCGCATCAGCAGCACTGCTCTCCCTTGCGCACGTCCTCTCTCATCAGTGGCTCAGCAGAGAGCGAAGGGCGAGGAAGAACAGAAAAGACAAGACAGCAGCATCAGCAGGCGTTGGGAACTGTCACGCAGAACAATGCACACAAAGCTTCAGCAAAAGTGTGAGGAGATTGGAAGGAGAAAGGGACGGTTTGGATGAGTGATTTTCGACTGCGGTTGAACGGTTGTGATCTCTTTAGTGGGAGGGAAGCACCCTGTTGAAGCCTCCTCCCTTTGATTTGATTTTTTTTCAAAATTACTCCCTTATTATTTTTTTTTGCAATTTTTTAAAACTACTCCTTTGATTTTTTGAGGGGTTTGCGAAGTTTTCAAATAGAGATGGCTGGTTTGGAGGCGGCGAAGTGAAGAGGCTCTGGACGTGTTTTCAATGGCTAGAACAAGCCTCAAAATAGCCTTTCCT